TCGTAGCGTCTCCTTGTGGGCGCGACCTACGCTTGTCTTTTTCCCTGCTGCTAAACCTGTCGCTTCTTTGGCTTGCCCGCTCGGTGGACTTCTTCGCGGCGATTCGATCGTCATCCCAGAGCGCTTAGCGTTCCGCAGTCGCGAAGACCTCTGCCAGAGTCTGGCTGGGAGTGATAGTCAGCTCGCAGTAGAAGTCGTGCTCAGCTGGAAGACCTTTCTTGAATGCAGAGGATGCGATTCGGTCATCGCATCCTACGATGTTAGCCTTTTCTGCTTTGAATCTCTTGATGTAATCTCGAAGAGATTCGTTGGGCTTCTTGCGCAGGTTGTACAGGTGGTTAGGATTCTTCTTGATCGTCCGGTAAGAAGTGTACTCTTTGGTGAAGACATAAGCAAGCTCCTTGAAGCTGCTGATCGACCCGGAGGGCAAGGTATGGAACCAGTCCTGAGCTGCTCCTCGCAAAGTCATTGCAAACACCTTGCACATTAGCGCGTCTTCGGCTTTGTAGAGGATCATAAGGCTCTTGAAATGCTTCAGATGGCTTTCAGGATCGGAATCCCCTTTGAAGCTGGTGAAAGAGGGCGCTGAGAATCGTTTCGGAGGAGTTGCCTGCTCAATTTCTGTAGTGAAAGGTGAGGAATTTGCTCGGTCTACTTCCATACGTAGTGTATCTTCAAAATTTCCACCAATCTTTAAGTCTCGAAGTCGGTTATTTACAACCTTCTCAACGTCTTCCACACGCATGGCCAATCGGTCATGTGGGCGACCTCGGTGATTTGGACGACGTTGATTGACTTCCTCGTTGGTTTGCAAGGGTTGACCTTCTCGGCTGCGTTGCCTAGGCGGCGTGTTGGTAGACTGGGCTTGCGAGGTATTCTCTGTAGCTTGGTGGTGAGAATTGGTTCTTCGAGAGCGAGCAACGGAGCGCCTTTCTTCACGGTCCTCATCGTGAGGGTTATCCGGTTGACCTCCTTGAGAGCCTAGCCTTTCGTGAACATTTCTTTGTGAGCGAGCAACAGAGCGCCTTTCTTCACGATCCTCATTGCGATGGCCGTTAGGTTGACCTCTCTGGGAGCCTAGCCTTTCAAGAATGTTTCCCTGCGGGCCCAGGCGAGCACGGATGCCAGGTTGTGGGCCTAGTCTTTCACGCACATTGGCCCTTAAATTCAGTCTGGATGGGAGACTTCGTCGGCTCTGAGTGTGGCTCGCAGATGCCTGCGACATGTTGACAAGCTGACCACGTT